TCATTGTCCATGGTCAACAGGGAAAATACTCTAAAATGTATACATTAGTCATATCTTCAGACATCTTTTATATTTCGAGCTGGGAAGTACTGGTATAAATGTGATATAATTGAAAAGAATATTCGCTATGATTGTGAAAAGATACATTAGATTGCAATCTCTGTGGTGTAACAGAAGTCCTAAAAAGTCATCACTGATCTATCTTTGTGAATCCTGTGGAATGCTTCCCAGACAGTAACATGCCATGGCTGTATTTTATGCCTCATTATTAACACTTATAACAACAGCAAAAAAAAAAGGTTGATGTGTTGGACTGTATTTGTTAAAAACAATGAAACACAATGGTCTAAATTAAAGGATCACTGTTCAGTATCTAATAAGATGGTATCAAAACAACAGGGCTCCAAAGCATGATGGATTCAGAAAACAAGGCAGCAGCATAATAAACACATTATTATATTTAACCTATAAGTAAGAGAACTTAACGACCATTAAATGGATTTTTAACATTAGAACTATATAACACAAATCCTGCAAAGGTTTTAAGGACACATAAGAATCTGGAGGACGTAGCACTTATCAAACCGACAATATTTTAAAATCTGATGTGGTGACAGGAGCCCCCGGCTGAAAACACAAAAGTGTGACAGTTAAGAGACACTTTAAGGGGAATAAATATGAAATATCTTGCCTCAGTTTGTTAGATGATCACTCTGCTTCATAGTGTTATGAGGTTAACAGTACAAGGTGCCACACAACACAATAAAAAGAAGCACTGAAGCAGAGCAGGACAAGAGGAAAATATTTGCAGTTGGGTGGAGTTTCTTCCTAAATCTGTCACTACGGCAGTCTGTAATTGCCTCTTAAGTCTTATTAACGTCTTCAAATGTTGATATAGTTTGCTCAGAGTTGGCAAAATATGACGATCTGCTGATAGGCTAGATTAACTGTGATAGGCTAGATGAAGCTAACACCAACCCTTTTATGTGAAGGTGCTCATGGGTAAATTACAGTTAACAATTAAGATAATGAGCATTTCTTTGGACTGTGGAAAGAAAACAAGATTACCCAGAGGGAACCCACGCACAGGGAGAACATGCAACTCCCGTAAAAATGCACTTCAATGTCTGAATGTACCAGCAGGACTTTTGGATATTACATCGCGTGTCAAAGTCACTCATTGCCTATTATTTGATGAATTGGAACGTACTTTTCGCGCTACTTCACTGTTGGTGAAAAGGAACCAAATCCAGAGGCAACAATCTACATGTGTTAGATCATTTGCTTTCTCTTTGTAATAATCTTCCTATTTTTGCCCTTTTACCTGCATTGTGTCCTCTAGTTCCCTTAGCCACCATCAGGCTTCCACCAGTTAATTAGGACGATGCAACACATCTGAAGTCTGCAAAAAAAACACGTTTGTAGTAACCATAAAACTCAACTTCGCCAAAGGCAACAGGATGCTGTTCAAAGAAGCAGATTAAAGAAGTCGCAGCCTTCTAAAAATCCCACTGACATGCTTTGTGAAAGAGGTGATTGTTCATGCTGGAGTAGATAATAAAAGATCTATACAATTTGAATGACCATGGCTTTGAGGGACAGGAAAACAGGAACAAAAAAGTTTCAGTTTCACCTTTATTGTGCTATCTAAAGGAAAACGAGTTTGCCATAAAGGTGCTGAAGTGATGTATTTTTTGAGTTCCACTGATATCGTGACAAAATGTTCAGGTTCCCAACCATGTGTTTCCCTTTAACAGACAAGAGGCAACACTGGATGGAAGAGGAAGAGAAAGAAGGTATATGTCATGCAATACCAACTGTGTGTAAGCCATTTTTTACCTCTCGCCAACAGTGTATCGTCTCATGTTGAGGTAAACGACTGCTCTGTCACAAACACTACAGGCATGAAATGGTTGGGGGGGGTGAATTGATTTTCTTATTCCTTGAGTTATTCAGTTTCAGTAGATTAGCCACTGAGTTGGTTATAATCCTGGAAGTGGAACATTTGGGAAGATATCAATTGCTTTTTCAGTTAAAAAGTCTTCAAAAGAGGCTTCAAAATATTGAAAATAAATATCAATTATAAAATGTTTCTGAATTGACTTAAAAAACTACTTTTTAATATCTACTTAATGTTTAACCATTAAAGTAGGTCCATAATTTTAAATATATTCTTACGTGTTTTTTATGTTCTGTTTTAATACAACTGATGCAAGGCGCCCATTACATGAGACCTCAGGGTTCATGGGCTCATCCTAGTAAAAGAAGGATTAACTAAAAAAATCCAGTTAATCGTCGAGATACATGCATTTGTTTAGCATCATTTTAGGATATTGGGATTTTAGGACAAATATGAGTGTGCCATTGCAGCAAAACAACTTTGTGAAAAGTAAAGTATTCTTCACTCTCAAGGCAAATTCATTCTCATAGACACACAGCTCATATTACCATGGCCTTTTCTTCCCCAATTAAACAGCACCTGAAGGTAATTTAACAAGAGTTTTGTTCTTTTGGTTGATCTGACCTGTCCAAACAATGATCTCTGCACTAACTCACTGTTAAGGATTATTTTTACTTTCATTTTGTGTTCTAGAAAGAAAAGATAAAGAGCAGACACTTTTAGCTCTTTTACACAATCCCCAAAGGGGGATTAAATCAAACCCTACAGAACACTTAACTTACCTTACAGCAAACATTGTAATGTTTGTAAGAATGCATTTTAGTAATATTAATTCAAGGGATCAAATTATTGTGGGGATTAGCCCTCAGTAATCCATTTTGGTGTAATCCACTACTTCCTAGCGTTTTCCCCTTTTGCCCGAGGCCGAAGAATATTCCCTTGACTGGCAATTACAGATAATTACAGCAACAGAGTGAAAGCTTTATTTAACAAGCTGTGTCCTAAATTACCTATAATTGACGTGGTCAATTTATAAAATCATTGACGATATTTGACGACTCCGTTTGCTTCTCCAGATGTTTGGAGGGCAAAAATACGTGACCTGCTTCTACTGATTTATGACTTTGGAGAAAATGGCTCCTGGCCGCTGGGGCACACGGAGAAGGGATATGTTATTTTAGCACAGCACAGCTGAAGCCTCGATTTGGTATCTGTTAAAGGTGCAAAAACACATTTTCATTTATAAAAAACAAGATCAAATAGGGTATCAGTTGGTTTGATTTATTGATTTACATGACATAGCATATCCTGACCATCACCAATATATTATTGGCAAATTATTAGAATATAAGAGATTGCTGAATATTTTCCAGTCAGCAGAATATGGTTTATGATTGTAAACTTCACTGAAGTTCTCGAGGAGTTTCTCTCTTTACAAGGTCCAAATAGGGATGCAGAAACATTTTAACAGATGATTACATCACTATCCAACAGAGAAGAATGAGAAAATGTGAAAACGTTCACATTTGGAATTGTAGAACCACAAATTATTCATCTAAACTTTCTGCATTCAAGCCCTTTGTCTGTCACCTCTTTCTGAATGAAAAAGTAAACAATGACTAGCTCACATGATTTCAATTCAATAAAATGAATCATGAGAATGACAAAATCAGCACATTAGTCATGAATGATCTGGTGAAAATTCATTTTATACAAATATGGCTTTCCAATACATGTTTTTGGTATTTCCTTTTTGGCTTCATCTTTTACCCATTTACAATTTTTTTCAATGAAAAAATATATATAAAATTCGACTCATAAAATAAAGCAGGCATGTCAAATTCATGCCTTCCCCCATATGATCATAACAATGGAATTTTAAGTACCATAAAGTCACTTATTGCATACCTGATCAGAGCCCCATGTTGGTACTTCAATCAACTTCATACTGGCTCTTTAAAGGTTCACGTTACACCCAAATGATAAAAAAGCACACACAAGTCAGCATAAAAATAACCTTTCTAATTGTCTTTAGTTCTTTAATCTGATCTGTTATTTTAGCATTAGATCAGTACAGTTCCAGTAAGAAAAACTATGAAAAAGCCCTGAAGAACCCTTCTTTTTCCACATAAACCTGTCCTGCTATGACCCCCTGCAAGACAGAGAAAAAAAACCTGAAAACAGAGATGCATGTTAGGGCTGTCATTAGTTAAGAGTTGTAGCTTTATGATAAAAGTTACCACATTGTAAAGCAGAGCCCTGCTGAAGGCAAAAATAACATGACTGGCTGTTTTAAGTGAGACTGTTTTAACTATTTAGCTTATTGTGGCAAAATTTTAATAAAAACATTACTGAGTCTATTGTCCCACTCTGATCTACCCCTGATGTAAAACATATTATTTACCATTAGTGTTTATATTTTGAGTCAAATATACACCCGTTCAAATTAGGTAAGTTGTAAGAGAATAGCAGAAAAATTGTAAAAAAATTTGCAATGCAAATATGAAACCACCTGTGGCTACAACGCTTGTCGGCTTATTATGGCCGAAGGCTTTGTTGTCAGTTCTGCAGCCTGACACTGACCTTTGAGATCCTACTCAACAATAAGCTTCAATTTGTCCATGGAACATCCTTGTATCTCTCATGGAGGAAATGCACTTCCCATAGCAAACCTGCCAGACACCATCAAATGCTGACATTTTCCTCAAAGCTTTTTCCTTATATCTAACACATAAATAGATAGCTAGCACGGTGCAGTTCCTAGTGAAGTTTGAGGTTTTTTCTTCTTCTACAACCACTAGGCCAATGCACACTTGGCCATCTAAGAATCATTTTATCCAATAAATGTTTTGTTCAATTAGGGGATAGTCCTCGTAGAAACAAAGTTGAGTCATAGTAATAATTTTTAAACATCTCATAGTTGTTGTGTGTACTTAAAAAAATTTCAGGAACTTAGCTACAATTCCTGCCACTGATCCAGTTTGATTATTTTTGCCTCCAGAGTGACTCACACTCACAACAATGTCAGTGTCCCTAACAGCTCCACTCAGCTTGCTGTTGTAAATCCATTATTTGTCCTGGAGGTTTTGCATACTCTCTGTCACATCATCTGAGTTCTTGGCATGGAGTCCTGCTGGTGTCCTGGATACCAGTGAGCAAAATTGTTCATGTAGCCTCCAGAGTGCACTGGCGCGCCTTTTGCAGCCATGCTGATGTCCCACAGAGAGCATGGAGAAGCGGAGGACGGCGCAGGGGGGGCGAGGTGGTCTCCCTCAGGTCCACAGGGCCCGTTCTTCATGATCTTCTTGTATTTGGATCGTTTGTTCTGGAACCATATTTTGACCTAAAAGACAAAAAGAAAAGGGTGAGAAGCTGACAGCTGAAAAGCTTTTGCAAGGCATCTTCCACACAGTGGAAGAAAATACTTAAATACAAATTTAAAGCCTTAATAGAAAATGTAAAAAAATTATGTGATTTCAGTAAGAATAGACAACATGCAACAGAAATCCTAACCTCTAGCTAAACTCAAAGTTTGGTTCCAGTGTTAAAAATACCTAGACAGCAAGGACAGCACTTTTACTGACCTGTAATGTGTTTTTAGGTTATGAGTCAGTAAATGTATTGTATAATAACTATCCTCAGAAGCATTTAATAGTCTTTTATTCGTCCACGGGTTGACAAATCTTTTTCCCATACTTAAAACCACATTAAAATGAACATCTGAGAACAAAAGCAACAATGTACAACATACAATAACTTGTAGCATTAATAGCCTAACCCCAGTCCAGTAATGTTATCCTGAGCTAACATTAGTTATCAGTTTAACTCTCTACTAAAGCTTTTAGCCTACATTAATGGCTCTTCAGTGTCTGTTAAAAGTAAACGTAACATAACAAGTTTTAAATCCCTGTCAGATAATTCAGCGGCTGTTAAGTTTGATCAATAACCATTAGCTTATTAAACTTATTTGTTGTAGCAAAACTTACACATTCAATTAGGCCTACTGGTTTGAAGTCTTCATCAGTGTTGTTAGCTCTCAAAACAAGTTCTTAATTTTTTACGAGAAATGTATGCAAATCTAACCGGTCCTTTATTGTTTGCCAAAAGCTCTACGTAATTGGTTTTAAAGTCCCTGTCAGTCATGTAAGCTAATGCTGCCAGTTTTTCAGTCTTTGCTAGTTAGTTAGCTAATATGCTCTACATTCCTTAGTATCTGCCAGTCATTTTGGCTTGATTATATCATTTGCTTTCAAGTCCCTGCCACAAATGTTAGCTAACATAACCAGTTAAGTAATTGCAAGTACGGTAATGTGAGCTTGCGCTACCTGTTCTTCACATCCTGCCTGTTTTGCAAGCGTATAACAGTCGTTAAAAATAGAGTCAGTAGCTTCTTCCGTAAAAATAAAATGCAGACTTATACAACAGCAATGCCACTTATTCATCATGGGCCTCTATTGCATTATGTGTGGTGGTGACTGTGTATGTAGAGACCTTGTCCTCTGCCTGGATTAGTGTTTTTTTTTTTTTTTTTATCTTTATTTTTGGGCTTTTTGTCTGAAATCATACAGCGAGAGAGGGGAATGACATGTGGGAAAGGAGCCACAGGTGGTATTTGAACCTGGGCCACCCGCTTGGAGGACCACAGCCTCCATACATGGGGAGTGCACACTAACCCCTGCGCCACCAAGCGCCCAATCGTGCGCGGGCAATCGTGCTTGAGTACAGCACGGTACAGATGACCAGTGTGACTGCGCCCTGACTGAAAATTTGTTTAACCAGTTTATTTTTTTTAAATCTCGGCCATAAAAGTTATGGAATATAATCAGTTCTTAAAGGTGCACTATGGAGTTTTGGTAGTGAAATTTAAAAGTTGGAGAAGTGAAACGTTCTATGCTATATTTTCTGAAGTAAATACTCAAAATGTATTCAAAGGAAAATATGGGTCCCTGGAACACTGTTTGAAGATAAAATGCTGCAAAGTTATGGCAGCTTGATAAAATTTTCCTCTGAGGACAGTTTGTGTATAGAGTTATGAACAAATACCACATAATTTATCTACCAAAACTACAGTGACACTAATGGTTATTTAGCCTCCAACATTGCTTGTTTAAATAGTAACATGTAAATGTAGGCCATATATACAATTCCAATGAAAAAGACAATAAAATGCAACAAAGCAGCTGTGACACAGAATACAAACATGCAGGAGAACCACATTTATAAAATGTTAAGCTAATGCTCTAAATGTACTTTGAATTATCTGAAACACTTCTAGGTGTTAGCCAAGGGCATGTTAGTTGATTATTGTCTAAACTGCTCCTATTAAGTTAAACCCAACCAGCGGAGTGCATTTTAGTGCTCTTGTTCACGACACTAGATCTCACAAAACACTTACACACTATTTTATACCAATTAATATGCACCTTTAGAATACCATTAAAGATAACTATACAGTAAAGTAACCCAAAATTATGGAACAATGGAACATAAAATAAAATGATTTTATAATACATATTACAGAATTTGGGCAAACAATAACATGTCTGTAGAATGATCTATCACAGCTATGCCTTTAGGAATCATAGAGGACTAATATGGTGATAATGAATGATTATAAACGCCATCACATACAGTATGCACTGTGATTCATGAACATGTGGTTTGTCCCTGTAAGTCCGTAACAGGATACACAACATGTGATGTATATATAAATAAAGTGAATGAAAACAATGTTAAACTTGCAGGATACAATTGAGAGAGCCCAGTAGTAATGAAGGGATTTTGTCAAAGTTATGAAAACAGTCTCAGCTCCTTGGATTTCATACGGCAGCAGTCGCATAGTGAGGCTTTTGTGCACACAGTATGTGGGAATAAGACACGCGTAATCCTATTAAAATATGTCAAAATGTTAAACTGAATATCCCTTCAATCATTTTTTGTGGTTAGAGATGAATCAAATGTGTTGTTGTTGATATAATTGGGTATGTCTTCTGTTTTCTAGCATGACGGCAAATTGAGCATCAAATTACGCGAATATGCCCCGGGGGCAACCTGTCAGTTTAGCGGGAACAAATGAATCATAAATAATTGTACACAGTCAGTGACTGTAACTCTTGTCTCATACAGGTTTTTAACTGTGCCATAAAGTTGAAACGAACACCCGAAGGACTGGAGCTGTGTGGAGACAAAGCTCAGAGAAGGGAGAGATGAAACAACAAGAAAAGAGAGAGGGAAAACACGCTTGGCGCTAAAATTGTTTTTTTCTCGACACTGACAGTCTTGTGCAATCTTATCCTGGGATTTTATGGGTATTTATGAAGATGGTTGAAGTGGTTATGGGTAGAAAAAAAACTTGATTTCACATAAAATCTAATTTGAGAGTGGTATAATTGACTCTTAATATGTGGAAAAACTTTCCTAGTTATGAAAAAAGCAGCCAGCTTTCACACCCAGCATTCAGCAATAACTTTTAAAATAGTCATGAGGATTGAAATTTAACATAAAATATGTCCTCTATTGTTACAGAGTAATTAATGACGTCAATCAAAGCCTGTTAGAAGTTATCAGATTGAATTAAGCTTTCACTCCATTATTCTCCAATGCAATAAAAATAGCACCACAGAATTCCGCAGAAATAAACTCGTTGTTGAGTTCAAAATTTTTGTCTCCAACTTCTCCAAAATCTAAATCAATACAAAATCAAATCTAAAGGATTTTTTTTGTCTTGTAGTTGCTTCAACCAAGTATAAAACAAACCTTAAAGCCACCCAGTTCCTGTAGTATGAATATCACCCTGTGCGATACACCAAAGTGGTAGCTCACAGATTTAAACCTTAATATTTGAAGCGTAGTCTATGAGCCCGGAAGTCAATCAACAGCACGTTAAGTTAATGCAACCTCAGCGAGAGTATTTCTGCTGTAATTATTGGTTTCATATTCCAGCAGCAACAAAGAGCTGACAGCTTCTCTGAGAGCGCGACTAATGACACCAGCATTAGCAGAGGAGGGTGGCTCAGAGGCAGGCCAGGTGCCATTGTGTGTATGTGTGTGTGTGTGTGTGTGTGTGTGTGTGTGTATGAAGCCATGACAAATAAAACAAACTTTGCCATGTATTTCTGAATATTTATGAATCAAACAAAGTTTCAATTTAGGTGAGGGGTTCAATCTTCATGTTAAAGTGTGCGTGTTTGTGTGAGTGCGTGAGAGAGAGAGAAATTAGAGTTTCGGGGGGGGGAAAATGTAAGGACTGTGCTACGTGCTATTTCTCAGCTGTGTCTGGGAACATTAGAGAATCAGATGGAAAGTGGTCGGCAGTTGGCTGTCGGCCTAATGACATGAAGGCGGAATAGAGATGTGGTGTATGATCACTATCTTAAAGCGTGTGTGTTTATGTTTGTGTCTGTATGCCTATTTGTGTATAAAAATGCAGACAGACAACATATGAGTGGACGCATGGTTTTATATCTGTGTGTGTGTGTGTGTGTGTGTGTGTGTGTGGACTTAAGTGCATTACTGTATTTGTTAGTGCAGAGTACATCCTGGACGATGTTGTTCAGATAAGCTTGGTTTAGTTTTCGTTTGGTACCAGAACCCACAATTCTTCCAGCTAACTCTATCCAGCTGATTGATGCCACGTGAAACTGCTGTGACATCATTTTTAACACGTCTCTTGCTGGATCATTTCAAATACAACAAAACAAAGAAACGTCTGCACCTCATGAACTGAACCTGATGCGGTTTTACGGGCTGCCATTTAAATCAGTGTGAGTGAATGGAAAAATTGTGAAAGGGATTGATGGACGCTTGGCTATTTTAGAAAAACTGCTAGCTTGTGAAGAATTTTCTGGGTCTTGCAAACAATGATCTGCAGTGTTCTTATCTCCCTGTTTTTTAAATTTGATATCTCAGCTCGGTGGCTAGGAACTTTGACCGCAGTGATATCACAGAGATAGTGGTAAAACTTAAACAATTCTTATGGGAAAATTGGGGGAAACCCCTCTGTAGTTCATTGAAAAGGGTCTTACCTTGATCCTGACAAGAATCAAGGACGCACATTCTTTATCTTAAAAAAAGACTTGTGTCTGCATTCCTAAAACTAGAGCTCTCCAATAGTCAGACTCAGACATTAAAATCACTTTTTCAGTTAAAGCCACGGTGAAAAAATGGACTCCCCTCCCTGTAAGCATTAATGGTAGTATAGCAGAGCACATTTAAAACCACAATGGCTCTACAATAGGCCTAGTTAATCAAACAGATCATCTCTTACTCCCGATGTCAACATAGCTGTGATGGTTAATCTATACAGGATTAAGACAGCTCATCTGATGGCTGCTTACTTAGCACACACAGCAAACACACACAATTACACACACAGCGATAGATTAAAGGGGTATTCCATAACAATCCTGTTCTTCTGTTGTCAAACTTTTGTTTTTCACTTTCCAATGTGCTATATGAACCATTTAAATAGCTTTATTTTCAACCTTGAAAAAAAAGGTCTTAAGAAACCCATCATTCCTGGCACCAACACTCGTCTTTATGTACCACTTTCCTTTTTCATGCTGCCGCCTCAATACATTACATTATAATCACTACTATTAAAGCAACTCTGACTGACATGTGGCCTTGCATTGTTGGCACAGTTACCCAATAAAAGGTGTGTATGGATGATGTGTTATGTGTTACAGTTGCAGATCCAGATTTTTCTTTAATTGTAGTGTAGCCTCCTCTCAAGTGCGAAAGCATTTTATGGGGCTGATGGGCTACATTTTAAATACTATCATAGAATTATTTCTGGGTTAGCTGCCCCACAAAGCCAAACGCATTATGAGTGAACACTTTTGGTCAATACAGAGCAAAAAACAAATAAAAAAACTAAACAAAAAACATGGCTAACTGCTTGAGAAAGCTATATAGCGCCTCAGCTAAGCTAGAACATAAATCATCTTATACTTTCCGCTACTGCTGTTATCTGTTATTTAACAGTATTGATTGTTTAGTTAAGTTTTGACTGTCAGTCATGATTTACACAATAACTTTAGCTAAATTCCTGCAAAAGGATAACTTAGGTTAGCTTAGCATGACTCATTAGGATAGCACTGTTTTAGCTTTGAATTGGTGGAAATCATGTGATTGTTGAGGTTAAGTTAAAGGTACTAAACTGTGAACTAATTTATCTTACTAATAGGATTTATTGACTAAATATTAAAGTAGCAGTAGGCTAGATGGACGGACGGACAACTTAATACCAAATCATCCAATTCCCAAACTGTCGATTGGAACTACTGTAGCCTATCTAAAATGAACCTTTTCTCTAAATAACCTTCTTTTCAAATAGGTAAGGAAGCTAAAGAGGCATAATTCATGGGTAAATACATTTTTTTCTTCTAAGGAATAGCCATGGGGCGAGTGATATTTGCATTCTTGTATGCTTATTCTACGAGAACAATGTTTGCCACAAAAGCAACGATTGACTAAAAATATTAAACCCTACTTTAACCTCACATACACTTAAAAAAAATCTATATCTGCCCAGTTCAGTAAGAGATTTTACACAGAATGCATTGTTGAGTTTAACAAATATTAGAATTAATTAGCTATAGAGTTCAACTACTTTTGTCCTATATGAAAGGAAATTAGTATTTTTTTTATATACATTTTTTGTGTTTTTCCCTTAAAATCCCAAAATGCTCGATCTCTTGCTCAGACCTTACAACATCAACATTTGGTTGACTGCTTTTATGTGACTGATGAAATGGCTGCCATCAGGCTGTTATTGGCCTGGGTCTGCCTGTGTGTGAATGTCGTCTGGGAGAAAGAAGGCAGTAAGTAAAAGGAAAGATGACCAACGGCTGTACAAGTCTTCACCTCACATGCAAACTCGTAGAAGTACATGAACTGTTACACCCAACACGTGCACACAGAAACACACACAGGCTCATGGCGTCATTCTTTTGAATTTGGGGTGTTCTCTTCTGACCTCTTTGTTCTACCTTGTTCTGTCTTAATTATTTTACTTCCTTTGTATTCTGATTTCATTTCAAAAAGCTTCTGTGTGACTAAACCTCACATGACATTTAAGTTCATTTGAGTGCGTGCCAGAATGTAATTAAACATGGAGGAAAAAGAGGTGACACTTGTAAACAAGAATGTACACGCGCCTGTTTGTGCTTCATACGGTTCTTGTTGCTGTCTCTGCAAATGCTTGAGAAATTTGATTTGGCAATCACTTTTTTCCCTGTAAGAAAAGTGACTATATCGTTCTCACAGTGCTCCATATTTACTTGGAAGTTTTGGGCGTGGTGATGAATGTTCGCCTGTCACTAGAGAAATTAGCCAACACATATTGTTTCCGGCGCTTGTCATCACATATCATATATCATGTTTATGTTTTTAACCTTACGCAAGATGATGATTTTATTGTACTTTTCTGCCCTTGAATGCTTGCAAATATTTTTTTGTCTTTTTTTTGTCTAAAAGAATGGGTCCATTCCACTGTGTGTTTGTGTGTGTGTGTGTTATCCACCAAAGTACCTGGGTCTGCGTCAGGCCCAGCTTGGCCGCAAGGTCGGCCCTCTCGGGGAGGGCGAGGTACTGGGTTTGCTGGAAGCGCTGGTTGAGAGCCTGGAGCTGCAGGCTGGAGTAAATGGTCCGAGGCTTCCTGATCTTTTTCCCCTTCCCGTTCAGCCTCACCTCCCCGTTCTCTATCACTGCCATGGGCTTCTCGTGGTCTGTAAGCAAGAAGGGGGGTGGGGGGCAGAATGTGGTCACACAGGATTTAAATTGGGACAGAAGACATGGTGAGTGTGATGCTTAACTTGTCACAAAGAAGCGAATAAAATTATGTGGACATGATAACATTTGAGAGTAGATTTGTTTCTATTCTATTCTATTTTAGGATAATCATGAATTAAATAATAATCATGGGATATTACTCTTTTTTTTAGTGCTTCTCAAGTGTTTTTTTGCACAATATATAGGAACAGAAGAAACAAGGTCCCTTTAATTTACCTACAGCGAAGAAGTTTAACACATTTTAGCACCCCTAAATGGAGACAAAGTGGTGCCATCTTTTTCACAAGTGGAATTAAATATAAATGTATAATGACTTGGGTTTGTACAGTTTGATACAAAGTCATTGAAGTCTGTGACACAAATATTTTGTTGAAGGATTTAGATTTAGATTATGAAACACAATCTGATGTGAGTCTGTACAAGGACTAGTGTTTTATGCAGCTCAGCCGAGAGGGGTTTTCCTCCTCTTCTTTTTCTTCTATTTTTTTTTTTTTTTTTTAAATTAGAGACAGCTATACAACTGTGTATGTTCGCCCACGCTGATCTTTGTTATGACATGAGTTTATAGCCTGCAGTGGCAGGAGAGAACAGCTGCGGACAAGCCGAGGCCCCACAAGATGTTCAGATTCTGTAATCGAGCTGCAAGTTTAAAGAAGCCAAAGCAGCGCCGCACTTCATTCGAATTTCAGAGAGGAGAAATACATTGAAAACATTATTCAAAGACGGAAGGGATGTTGCTTTTTAAAGAAAACCTAAGTGGGAGCATTTATGCATCTTCGGTTTTTAACATGATTTGGGTGCCACAGATCCTAATGCTGAGTTTGTAAAAATGACATGTGTGTTTTTTTCTTTGTATCAGTCAAACAGAATATAAGGGTGTGGTGAAGTGGTAAACCTTCTCTTTAAGGAAAACTTCTTCTAAATATGTTGGAACAATGAGGAATTGTGAAGATATGATAATGTAATACAAGATTTTTCATACATCTCTAAAAGCCGAATACAGATAATGCATGTTATAGAATGTAGACTCTTATAATAGACAGTGAATTAGAGAAGTGCTGCTTATAAAACACTGTTAACTCTAACTTTAAAGAATATGGAAATCCATTGTATAGCTGACAACTATAATGTCTCAATAGTTTAACAAGTTAAAATCTCATAAAATGTCCTCATTTTATAATCAAATTTTATTTAAAACATTGCGTTGAACTTTAAAATGAGCGTGTTTTATTTTTTCTGTATAAAATATACATGATGAAGGAACATGCTAAGCAAAGCAGCTGAAAGCCCTGAAGTCTGGCATGTCTGTCAGTAGTCCACAAAATCTGAATTTGAAAACTTTTCACATTTGTAGTTGTACAAAGATATGCAGAGGAACTCAATAAAAAGGGAACAAATAGAATGAAGAGGGGAAAAAGTCATTTTCTGTAAACTACAAATTTTATTTCCTACATCTTTCTAATTTATGGTGGAGATACAGTAATGTATGTATGTAGGCCTGGGCGATTAAACGATAAAGATAATTATCGCTATATCATTTATTATCGCTATATTATTTGTAAATATGAAAAATGTTTCATAGATTTAAACCTATAATTACACCAGATGACTTGTAAGGCTAAAACCTTTTTCACCATTTGAAACAATATTACCCGTTTAAACATACCGAACGCAAGATATGACCAAGCGTCCCAAACGAGTGTTAGTGGAGCCTCAGCAAGCAGCGGGCCAGTAAGTGTTACTGCCCAGCATCAAACGCACTTATCAGCATTTCCCAGCGTGATGCACTTTTCTTATGATTGTGAAATATTCCTCTGTTCCAGCACAGTGGGTCATGTTCTGACAAGGGTCAGCAGGTTAAACCATAATTAACAAACTGGTTTCTTTAACTTTCACTGAGGAGCAAAAACCAGCCGTTACATTTGAAAGAAATAATGATTTTACATTTATCGTGATACTTATCAATATCGACTGATATGACATTTTTTATTATGATGAAAAATGTTATCATATCCCCCAGCCCTATATGTATGAAAGGTTTTTTAAATGAGATAAAATAATAATAGATTAAATGCTTATCATTTTCTGAAACTATAACGAAAGGAGGAAAAACTGATTTTGCAAAAAAAAGGAAACTGCATGTATGTCAGGAGAGAGAAAGCAATAAAGAAAAAAAGTGAGAATTTTGACAGAAAATGAACTGTATGTTCATGCCAAGTACACTTCTATGATTTAATATGGCCCTTCTTAACTGGTCACTATGATGTGACAGTAATTCATTTGGTCTAACCTTTAATGTTACATATGTGATGGTTGACATCCACTTAAAGTGTCCTCTGTCCTCTTATGAGGGATTGTGTAAAGAAAATCATTAACTATTGGCTCTTTTTTTTTTTTTTTACTTTAACAATGTCATTTCAGTTCTTGCCACTCAAGCAACAACCTATCATTAATTTTTATGGGGTCATTTATTAATAGGGAAGTAATACTTTAAGTAATGCATTATAGCCTTTGAAAACATCCATAGTATGAAGTATAAAAAGTTTACTATTATGATTATTTGAAGTTGTCTGTTGTTAATGGCCTTGAAGACATTAATATCCCTCACAGTCGGCCTTTTTTGGTTTTACTGTAGAACAACGGAAAAATAAATGAAAATGAAATGAAAATGTATTGTTGTTTTTCATCGGTATAGGAGTTGGTTTCAGCGATTTATTTTCAAAAGCTGATTTAATTTATTAAAACACGGGAAAATATTTTTGGTTTTGGTTAAATATACATTAGGCTATTTTGTTTTATACAAGTTCAAATATATTGTGGTTTCTCGTCAGGATTAGCCGAATAGTGGAAGTTTATTATAATTATTATTAGCCTACTACTACTACTACTATTATTATTATTATTATTATTATTACGTGTTCACGGTTAGGATACAGGATGGTAGTTATTTGGGATGTGATGGCTGAGGGTTTGTGCTTGGAGGGCCGCTGCGGGACACCGCAGGCCCGGTGTCGTCTGCTTCTTGTGGAGAGTCCCACAGTCGTGGGCCTCAAATTCATCTCCAGCCAACCCCTAAGTACGCAAACATGACGATGTGGCCGACCTGTGTGTGGATTCAATTATTATGCTACGCGTTGATTTTATTTTCACGTTTTTCAGATTAAAGACCCAAATCAAATATTTCCCTGGGCCTAAATAACACATCTGGTTGGAATAGTATTAAATCCTTGAAGTGTTTCGTGTGAACTCATTCTGACTTGGACTTTTACGCTGTTCTTTATTCCAAGAAAAAAAGTATTTATGGGCAAATAGAGAACTATAATTTGCAAGGTGAAATTATTTCTTTTTTAGTTTACCTTTTGTTTGAGAGCAATCAAGGTAATCGGTGTGATAATAATGAGGTCATTGTGCAAATATTCCCTTACCTATTAGGGCCACCTGAGCAAATACTATTCAGGCCGTTATTTGACAATAATAAACTGTAGGCCAACTGGAATTAAAATGGAATTAACCATATTGTTCTATAATAAATGTTCTGTGTGAGTGAACCTACCTGCATCCTCGAGTCTGGTGTGTCCCAGCGCGCCGCCGTGACCCCCATGCTGATAGGGCAGGTAAGCCCCGGGATGGTGCGCGTTCACGGGACTATGATAAGGTGGGTATCCCAGCGGGCGACCGTACGAGGATGTCCCGGAGGCGAAGGGTCCGTCGTGCTGGGAGGGCCCGACGGCGTGCAGTCCGTGGACCGGATAATGGTTGTGGGACAGACCGGGGGAGGGCTGCTGGTGTCCGGGGTAGCCGTGACCGCCGAACTCCAAAAACGCCGATTTGGATGGATCAGGCGGGACTAAAGTGTCCGATATAGAGCTCATAGTCATCATTAGGGTGGGGGGCTGTGATGTGGCGGGAGATAAGACGGGTCAAGTTATGACCTCCAGGCGGGGGTCATAATAAGGGAACTCACCATCAATGAAACAAAAAAGTCAGAGTCTTACTTACAGTGTTTCACTTTCAACGAAACAACATTAACATTTTAAACCGAACAATTCGTTTCTTTAAAAACTACTCTAATCCTTTTGAAGGAAAATACGTCTGCAAGGTGGGTTAAGGTGAGTTAACCCTGCGCTACATCCCAGAAGGCTCCAGAAACCTGACACTCAAAAGTGTATTACCGTTACGACGCTTGGCAGTCCGACGCACAGCGGGGACTGCACGCAACAAAAACAGAAAGTCCCGACAAAAGAAGTCCTCAAATTGATGAAATATCCTTTATTCTTGTTATTTTCCTTCTTCTGTGCGTCCAGTGAGTGTTGTTTCTAGCCGTGCGGGGAAGCGGAGCCTGGCAGCGGAGTGAAAAGGAGTGTGTTCCTCCTCTTCAGAGCGCACAGTGAGTCTGTACGGCCCCTCTCTGCCTCCACTTGGCACAGAGCGCGCGCTCATTGGCTGCTGCGCCTTCGCGTGTCACACACATCACAATCAGCAGCAGCAAAAAATCCTCTCAGTTTGAGCCGGACAACTGCCGTGAATGTCTGAAAAGAAATGTCACAAGTTCAATACAACACAGCAAGTGTGATATCGGAAAAATCCAAGATGTGTTTCACTGAGTTAACAGTTACCATTTTAAAAGTCAAGCTCACCAGTTATTCAACATTTGAAGTAGCCTACTCTTTAAATGAATACGAACTGAATGAATAACCTAACCATCAGGACAACACACGGACTGATACCTGCTAAAATGTCAGTCTTGATTTAATAAATTCGACACTAACAGTCATCGGATTTAATCTGTGGAGCAAAAGACTGCGCGTGTCCTTTTCAGACGCAAATATTTGGCCCAAAGCATACATCTGATTAAATATGTAGGCTATAATGTTTGTCATCGTGTATTTCAATAAACATCAGGTATTTAACGTGCTTTAAATGTATGTTTTTCCATAAAAACAAAAACAAAACAAAAGAACATTTGCAGCCTTGTCAACGCCGAAAAAAAATAATCTCTGCTGTCAAAAGAAAAGACGGATCAGATCAAAGTGTCTCTGCTTTTGACAGGCCAAAATAACTTAATATGCTAATTATATTTATGAAACATACACTACAACTGATCGTTGTTTGAACCCAGGGTGTTATATCTCCTTTCCTTTCATTTTTGGCTGAGATACTGAGATTGGGACTGTTTGCAGAACGTAAGCTTTACGCAAAAGACGAAGGGTGATACGGCAAACACATACATAAACACACACACACACACACACACACACACACCACACACACACACACACTCTCTCTCTCTCAGCGCACCCTATGTGGTCCTAAGTGAGGGACAATTAAAACAAACATCGCCCTCAAAGAGAAACTCCAAACTTGTGATTTCGGCAGAGCAGAGGTTCGGACACTGTAATTTCATTCTGTTCACGGTCATTACGTTCCTCCGCAGTGGAAATCCCGGACTGTGGGGTAGCATTCAACTACACACCGAAAAAGCATGACGAGACAAATAAAAACAATGTAATGACATAGGGGTTAATCGAACATGATAAACCACTTCGATTGGAGTTCTTCAGTTGGGTGGTATAATGGGATTTATTCTCTGTTCACAAAGACCAGATATGGTGCAATATCATGCAGAGAACAGTGAAGGTCTGCAACTTTGAAAAAATCTCTTTATTTCTCTTTCAATTTTTGTATCCAATAAACTCCCTTTGTGTTCAGGTGACCTAATTGAAATCAATGTAAAGAAACACATAATTGATGTGATCATAGGAATGTATTATAGTCTGTAATGTAGTGGTACCTGAAGAAGTGGGTATACTCTTAATTTTCCCCAAAATGTTTCTTGCCTGTCCACCAAAGGATAAATGGCCTCTGTTAAAAACAGTGGCTTTTAAGACTGCTCTTCCGTATTTAGTTAGTGTGTTCTAGCCAATTAGAGACAGAGTAGAAGGGTCATCCCTTCACCATCCTAGGAAAAAAATTGCAGCATACTACAGAATATTGTCAATAAATCAATGGTGTGAACCAGAGGAGATTTAGAAGTGGGTATACCCTATGGAGACTGAAAAATAAGTGGGTATACTCCATATACCTGTGTATACCCTGCACTACACTACTGATTATTTTATCATAATAACACAGATTAAGTGTGAGAAGCATGTCTCTCAATAACAGAGTGTAAACCAGAATTTCCCTCAGGGATTAATAAAGTATTTAAAAAAAACAAGTGTAAAAGTCTTCTGTAAAGTACCTACAAAATAGGCTACAATGCTGCAATTCTTACTTCTTCTTTTGAGTGTTTCCATTCTCTGTTATCATAAATTTCTATTCAACGGCAGAGGAAAGTTCAGAGGAAGATGATGTAGAGCATACACTAGAAGCTGATACTTCTTAAAGATAAGAACATTGTAAAGTCAATGGCTTGTGAAATCTTAAAAAAGAGCGCGTTGTTGGGCTCTTTCATAATACATGTCTATTACCATCTAATATTTCTCTTGAAAGCAAAAATCTCTTGACCCCTCATATTTATCATGTGACCCATATGAGGGGCCCAACCCCATGTTGGGAGTCACTTGACTGAACTACCTTCTGTACAAGTATCTTCACCTCCAGTAAAGCTGTACAGTTCTGCTCACCCATTGATGCAACAACAATGTGGCTTTTGTTGTAAAGCAAATATAATAATTTCACTCCAACTTGAGTAAAGTTTTAATGCAAACTTTTTTATATAGTGTGACACTACTAATACCTAAGTGAAGGATCTGTTTACTTCTTCCTGTAAAATCAAGGCTATACATTGTTTTTTTCGCCCAAAGGTCCCTGTTCATTCACTGATCTTGGTTTTGACAGGACCCTTTGAAGGCTCTGCTGTCCCTCTGGCATCCAACACACACACACACACACACACACACACACACACACACACACACACACACACACACACACACACACACACACACACACACACACACACACACACACACACAGACAAACACACTCATTTAACAACTCTTATACAGTAAACATAAAACAAGCAAAGTTGACATCTGCTAATACTCACATTTGTCTATTTGGTATGGCTGTGGTGTCATCAAAAAGGAAGGAATTGGATGTGATATATGAATGAATGTCCAAGGATCCCTTTTACACTCATTATGTTGCTTTGACAGCACAAACTTGAACAAAAATTATTTTGACACACATTTGATGGAGAAAGGTAGACAGACAGAGAGGACACACACACACACACACACACACAGAGCAGTTTGAGAGATGTTTTAGCATGTTCCATCCCTTGGCTCTCTTCTCCTGCCGCTACAATCGGGTTGATTACAGCAACAGGCTGATGTTCAGAATTGCTGCACATCCCAGCCTGTGTCTCAGCTTTCATCTGCGGCCAACATTCCTCCCCTCCCTGACTTCACCTCTGTGCGTGCCGGGCACACCCTCCTGGCTGTGTCAGTGCTGTTATTTAGTGGCACAATCTTGCTAAGTCGTCACATTTTCTTTTCTGTTTTCCACCCAGACTGAAAAGGTAAAGCGATTGACTGGCACGGCCGGAGAGAGGTGCAACTTCGGAGCAAATTACAACTCCCTTAAAACTTAATTGTGCAAGTCTGAGAAATTTCTCTTTGGCATTCTGGCTGAGGGATTCCAAATATCCAGTTCAAGTATGTGCCCTGGAATGAATAAGAACTTGTTAATAAGGAATGATTTTGTCGTGTAGAACCAGGGCAAGGGAGCATGACTTTTACCAACTCAAAGTCTTGCCCTGGTTCTACAGCACTTAATTGAGGAGCAAATATGGATGATTTTATACATTACAAACACTGAACAACTAGATCCATGGCCTTGTTAAAGAGCCCCCCTGATTTGATGGAACACATGAGGGAAATCAATCATCCATCATCTAGGGGAGATGGGTTACTGTCCGACAGCAAAAGATGGAGCTCACACTGAGCAGCTTGTGGGAACACTTGCAGGTCAGTTTACACCTTCGGGGAGGGTGAAAGAAAATATGGGGGAGGGATCAAATAGGAGAAAGAGGACAAATCCGACCATCACATTGAGTTTAAAACAATGTTCGAAAATGCAGTTTTCACAAAAGTTACCAAAGTTTTTTTTGAATTTCTCCACTAGGAACAATTTGGCTATTAGTTGAGCTTCACTAAAGATAGTCAAAGATGGACTAACAGTGTTAGATTTGTTCTGTTCATGTATTGACTAGTGATGGTAATTCCTGCTCTATTTAGTGATCCTTTTTAATGATTTCAGTGATCTGACTCAGCTGAGTAAAAAGAGGCTCCCACACGTCTCTTAATTTGTTGCCATTTTGGCTTTATTAAATCAGCCAAATTCAGCAATGTTTTGAACTATGTCTAATATGTTTACATGTTTTTTTTTTAATGAAAATATTCATTGTAATGGGCTGCATGGTGGTGCAGTGTTTAGCGCAATTGCCTCACAGTGTAGAGGTTCCTGGTTTGAATCCCTGTCAGACAGGGCCTCTCTTTGTAGAGTTTGCATGCTCTCCCTGTGCATGCGTGGGTTCTCTCCGGGTACTCTGGCCTCCTCCCACAGTCATCCTCGTTAGGTTAATTGGATTTATGTGTGAATGTGGCTGGTTGTCTGTCTCTATATGTCAGCCCTGTTATTGACTGGCGAGCAGTCCAGGATGTACCCTATCCCTTTGCCCAAGGGGATCAACTCCAGCCCCCCCAGCAACCTCAAACGGGAAAAAGCGGTATAATGGATGGATGGATATTCATTGTAATTGTATTAAACCATGTATGACACTATTTGACAATATATTTGTAAAACTTTAATGTTGTGTTATAAACAGAAACAAAAAGGCGGAAAAAGGAAAAATTGCTCGAGTAAGGGCCTGTGT